AGTATCAGGTGGCTAATTCAAAGTACAATGTTGTAATAGAACGAAATGCAAGCATGATGCTATAGAAAAGATAGTGATATTTCTTGCATTTAGCACTTATTCTTTTGCACTGCAAAACATTATTATTTTCATGATATGTTACCCAAACCAAATTCTTTAAAACATGTTTCGTAGATTTCTGATGAAAAATTTGATTATTTATTTAGACTTTTTGTTTTGATCAGTTTGCGAGTGGAAGAATTTGATTGGACATACTTGTGTCGCAACGATTGATTGGGCGTGTAGTGGCATATGTGACTCTGAAGATAGGATACATGATGTTCATAAGCGATGTAGCGAGCATGAAGACGACTTATGGGAGGCTATTGTTTGAGTTGGGTATATTATGCGTGCATTTTTGTGAGCGAATGCATGTAAATGCTTCTTCCACCTCAATGATTATATACCCAAGTATATTTAAAAATAATGCAATGATAGTGTGTTTATTATTTTTTTTAAAAACGGAAAATATAAACTATTTATAATCTACTCTTTAATTCCACCTATGTCCACTACAGGACTTGAACCCTCAACCTCAAGGAGGGAGAGCAACACCGGATACCTCTAGGTTGTGATAGTGTGTTTATTAACAAGGTTCATTCAAGTTAAATACCATTAAATTTACCCACGTTCGAATCTCACACGATTCAACATTATGGTGACTTTTGTCGTAAAGAAACCATTAACTTTATGTAAATAAATAAAATCTAATAATGTACAATGAAACCATATTAGTCAAACTATATAGAAATTACTGTTAAAATTTTTATCGTATGGGCCATTTGTGACACGTTGTTTTTATAGACAAAATTCTTAAGCGACTCAATACAATCAATCTAAGATTTCTTATAACGACCCCAAGATATTAACTTGATTGATGTTGCTTTATTTCATCACCAACGCCCAGTAGCGCATCTAGGATTTACATATGTTGGGGGTACAAAATATTTATCAAATAATTTTTTGGGTTGATCAATCAGGTTGCCAATGCGTATGTACAGTCGAGCTTCACCTACCTTGTTATCTGATAGAGTACCTAAAAACATTTAATATCAACCGCTAGGTTTAGTGAGTTCTCCAAAATATCATATACCACAATACATATACAATGCATACATATAATCAGTGGCGGATCCAGGATAAATATCAACTGGGGTCCACCCTATAACTAACATGTGCCAACCCGAAATTTCTATCTTGTACACTTATTCAAATCAGTCAAGGCCAGACTCGTTTTTGCTACCTTCTGACACTGTTAGAGTCAATTTGAGTGTTCTAAACCTAGTATAACCAAGGTATGAGGCTAGGGATGAGTGTAGTTGAGTGCAACACCTTGCAAATGAGCCAAGCACCCCATTATGAGGTGTGTGCGGCCGCACACATGGGTGTACGGCCGTACACCCATCCCAATCGTACACTCTCATGTATAAATGAGAGTCTTAGCCTCCATTTACCTCTTTTCACATTCCTAAGCCAAGAAATCGACTTTTCTCTCTAGTATCATCCGTTTTTCATCTAGATCTTCAAGTTGTAAGTGTTTCTTCCTTTGTGTTGTTGATTCATTACACAATCTAGTAAGGATCTATCATTTCATCCATGAAATTACACCTTTTGTTTAGATCTTCAAGTGTTCACCAAGAACACCAAGAACACCTACTAAGTTTTGGACCTCAAACACCCCTAAAGGCTTCTATATCGTAAGTACCACTCCTTGTGCTTGTTATTTACTAGTTATACTCCTTAGAAACCATCCAAAACATGATCATCAAGGAGTGTACGGCCGTACACACCCCATGTGGCCGTACACCCCTTTGTTTAGTGCTATTGGGCTTCAAACTCATGTTTTATGCTAGCACATGATCAAGAACGCTTATGGGATGCAAGATAGAGACTTGGAATACACTTTTGACCATTTTTACATGATCAACAAGGGTATACGGTCGTACACTCCTTGTGTGGCCGTACACACCCTATTTAAGCCCCAAAATGGCAACAAACTTCCATTAAGACTAAGCATTGGCCAAAGCACACTTCCTAGATGCTTGCTAAGACTTTAAAACACTCAATGGCATGTTTCCCCATGAGTGTGCGGCCGCACACCCACTTGGGCCGTACACTCTGGCCGTACACACACATGAAACATACCGTTCTGGCCATACACCCATTATATACAACCTTTGGTACTTCTAACACTTCAATCTAAGTGTTTCCTATGTCCTAGGGTGTCTTTTCTTACATAATTAGTTGTATAAACACTAATTATATACATATATGTGTCATTATATGCTTATTAGGATCCGTTGTGCTCAAGTCTTCACTTGACACTTAGCATCCTACAAACCGATCTTTCATTCGTATTACTCACTGCAGGTGAGTTCATACCCCTTTAACTTATTTTTTAAATGATTTTAAATGTTTTTATAGGGGAGAATACAAGTAGAAACATTATAGTTATTATATCAATCATATGTGATTTATAACTATCAAACAATGAAATTCTTATACTTCAAACTGTGTTGTCAATCAAATTGCTTCAAATCGTTTTACAAACTCTTTTACATGCAAAACTCATTATCAAACTCTTTCAAACTTATATTTTGTTAAAAGCATATCTATATAAGATATAGTTATATAAGTAGGATTGAAAGGACTTAGGACTGATAGCTCGCCTTACTTCCTGTTCCTTGTTTGGTTGTGGACTTAGGGTATCGGTTGTTTGTCCGAAGGTCGTTTGAATCTTAGTTATATACTATGTGTATGTATATAGATATAAAAGTCCTTCATTCAGTTCAATACCTTTGGGTAACAAAGTTATACAAACATGTTCATTCATACAAACAACGTTGCTAGTAAACTATAATAGGTATAGTTTAGGAAGTCACTAAATACTATTACTAGAACAACGAAACATACAAAGAGTCAGTTCATACATGAGTCAATACATACTATAACGAGAAACAATACTCACTATAAAGAGAAACAGATAGAGAACACTATAACGAGAAACAATACTCACTATAAAGAGAAACAGATAGAGAACACTATAACGAGAAACAATACATACTATACACTATACACTAGAGAACATACTATATACTAGACAGAGAGAACATACACTACACTAGTACATACTATACAAATACAAGAATACTATAACATTAATGTGAGATACTACTTCATGGCTCGGCATATACAGTTGTGTCACGTTTTGTACCCAGAGTCTCCTGGAGGGAGAGCGTGAATTTGTGTATAGATCTATACGGGACTGACCCTCCTACACCTTGCTGCTAGCTACAATGGGACCTGCAGGTCTACGGGTGACGAATGTCATATCATTTCGACGTCTAGAACGTCGTGTTATACTGGTCAATCGAGTATGGTTACAATCATATCACATTTTACCTTAATTAACTAACAAGTTTAAAGGTAGTTAGTACATTGGTAGTTACTTAGATAAAACTACAGTACATCTTCATTTATTCCCATTTCATTCACATTGTGATCTTCTCACATAAACGGTAATGAAAACTATATTTTTGGTAATGATAGTCATACTTTGGGAAAATGCACACTTTTACAAAAGAACAAACATAGGGAACAGTTGGGTCTTGGTAGAAGACTGCTTTAGTAGAAAATATAGGATTTTCTAGGAAGTTTACAAACATTTACATCAATTACTTACAAACTTTTACATCAAACATTTGCAAATACATTCTTCAAACTTATACAAACAAAGACACTAAAATACTTATGAACTCACCAGCTTTAATGCTGATCTACGCTTTCAAAATAACTTGTATTCTCAGGTCGCCAGTAGACAGGTACCGATGGCCAGGTTTTGAGAAGATGGAGCACATTCAAGACTCATCTTTTATTTTGATTATACATTTTGGTGTCTTATAAACTTCAGAACACACTTGTATTAAAATTATTACTATTAATGCAATGGATGATGTTGTTGCTTGTTTACTTTTATGCATTGTTGTGATACTGTACATGACGTCCTCCGCCCCCGAACGTTTCCGCTGTTCCGGTTTTGGGGTGTGACATAACAATAGTCCCTTCCGGCGACAGTGGCCGGATATCCTTCAGACGGCAGCTGTAGCATTCCTCCGACAATGGTAGCAGTAGGAAAGCAACAAATTGACGTGGTTTCTTAAGAGTTATAAAAACAGATGAAGTTTTTGATGGGTTTTTCAATAGAAATGAAAAAAATCTAATGGTGAAAACTAAAATTGGGTAAAAATATATCCATTAGAGTATTCGTTTAAATAAGAGAAGATGATCAAGAGGGTGCCAAGAGAGGGGCATCTGCACAAATTTAAAAGAATAATTTTTTTTCCTAATATATAAGATGGGTCCTATTTTTAAGTGAGGGCCATAGACCCCGCTGTTTCTACTCTACATCCGCACTGCATATAATGACCTTCAACATAAAGCTAGTCCGCCTTCAACACGAAGCTGGTCCGCTTTTTTTTGCCTACAACGTAAAGCTACACTACACCTTGGCCTTCAGCATAAAGCTAGTCTGCCCGAGTATATTGACCTGCCACATAACTACATGAAAATTAAATGTAAATGAGAAACTACATTATTGAATATGAAGAAATTCAAAACCAAACCTAAAAAATCTATAACCATAACTGAAGAGTGGATAGGTTCAACATACAACTAAATTATACGATCTACCACGTAACTACATGAAAATGACCTATATTCATAATTGAAAACACATGTACAAGTTTGAACATGAAAATTACCCTTGTTCAGAAAACAACATGAATTATTTTGATGTGGTTCTATGATTGGGTCATATAGTTTCGTTCCATGTTGAACTTGCCCCCGAAACAGTTACCGGTTATCTTTAAGTCTGTAATCGAAAAACGAATCATTTTGGTTAACCTACTAAAATCGGAGGGCTTCTTTTACAATTTTGATCGGCCTAAAGGACAAATTTTGTAACGTCAAGCAACCTTCGCTCCAAGTCATCGGAATCAATAACCCCCATTCTGCAACTCTCACCGATATCGCCTGTGTTGTGGTTTTCATCCTCTTTGGGTCGATGTCGGTAAGCCATTGAGGCATTTGGAGGAATTTAATGGTGTCAAACGTGAACTGTTTTGGATGACTAACATGTTTTGTTTGTACAGATTTTTGAGTATAATGGAAGCGCTCTGGTCGCCATGGTTGGTAAGAATTGCTTCGCAATCGCTAGCGATCGGCGTCTCGGGGTTCAGCTCCAGACTATAGCCACTGATTTCCAAAGAATTTTCAAGATTCATGATAAGCTCTTTCTCGGTCTCTCTGGTCTCGGCAGTGATGCTCAAACACTGTAAGTATGCCACCCATTATTGTCGATCATTTAGGGTTTCGCAATAACAATAAACTTATCGGGTCGGGGTATTTGGATATGCATTACTGCATTATGAGATTGATTATGTGATATCAGTGATGAATATGATTAACTCTAGTAAATAAGGGTGATTGAATGTGCGTTTTGCTTGGTAATCCTCTGATTGTTGTCGATTGAGTTGGCTCTTCATAGTTGAAGAAAGCCTCCATTTTTAAGTGTTTGAGTAAGTTTGTCTTCAAAACTCTTGTATAACAAGACCCTGGATTTATTCACTTGATCATCCATTCCTTTCTGAAGAGAGATGAATGTAAAGAAGATGATTATGGAGGGGAGACATCAGACATAACAATTCACTTGTCTTCTTTTTTATAATCATACCTCCATAGTTGACTTTATTATCATTCGTTACAATATCTTAATAATCATTTATCTCTATATTGGTCTCATTTCATAGTGTAATTACATTCTTCTCTTATTATTTATATTTTGTGTTATTGCAGTCATCAACGGCTTGTGTTTCGCCACAAACTGTATCAGCTTCGTGAAGAAAGAGATATGAAGCCTGAAACTTTTGCTAGTCTTGTCTCTGCTGTTTTGTATGAGAAAAGGTTAGATTAAAGAAAAGCTTATTTATGTTTTTGTGTCTCTGGATTATCATCCATTGTTCAATTTATTTTTTCTATTTCTAATGTCGATTTTTGACGACCTTTAGTTTCAGAAAATTATATTTAATAAATTTTTTACTACTATTGTTATTGTATATGTAGATTTGGTCCTTATTTCTGCCAACCTGTGATTGCTGGATTGGGAGAAGATGATAAGCCATTCATTTGCACAATGGACTCTATTGGAGCAAAGTAGGTTCATTTCTCATACTTATTTTGCTTGAAAGGGCTAAATCCAATATTATAGCAATGTACTTTTATTTAAATGTGTATAATACTTTCAAACTTTTTCTTATTAAGACATTATTCTTTGGAAAATCTCCCCAATTATAATGCTGTGATAAGAGGAAATGAAAGAAGGATGGTAATATAATAAAAAAGAAATTTAATGAAAGTACATTGCTATTTCTGGCATTAATTTGTTATCCTTTTTCTTTTGAAAATGAATTGTAGAGAGCTTGCAAAAGATTTTGTTGTTGCTGGGACTGCCTCTGAGTCTCTTTATGGTGCCTGTGAGTCGATGTTCAAGCCTGATATGGTAACTTTCCTTATTTTATTAAAACTCAAGACAAAAATTTCAATCCTTTTGTCCCACCCAAAAAGACAAAAATGCCCTCCTCCTCATCCTCATAGTTTGTTATGTATGTATGTATGAAGGATCACGAGGATCTGTTTGAGACAATCTCCCAAGCTCTTTTATCATCGGTGGATCGTGATTGTTTGAGTGGTTGGGGAGGCCATGTCTACATTGTGTAAGTTTTTATTTCTTTCTACAACATTTTACTTTTATTTATTTATCCATTTATTTATTCTACAATAAATTAATATATGCTAGTACTTTGTTATTTCTTGAATTTTTAATAAGATGACATGTGGTTTTGGTGCAGCACACCGACTGAAGTGACAGAAAGAATCTTGAAAGGAAGAATGGATTAAGAAATATTATATAATTTCTCTTTTTTATTAATCTGGAGAATTTTCTTATATTTGTATGATGCAATTTAATCCATTCTATCTCTTCTACTTGTACCTTAACACCTAACCTTCAAGCGTGATAATTTTCTCAATTACTTTATGTTTCTGAGACAGATTTCTTCAAAATCAATAACCGAATAGTGATGATATAGTAATATACACTTATATGATTAAAAAAATTAATTTTTTTTTTTTTTTTTTTTACATGTTTTATAAAACTTAGTTATTTACAAATTCTTTCCTAATGTGTTTTTACATATTTAGGTTTTACAGCTATATTAAAGATTTTTTTCGGTCTAATGCTTACTTTTTACAATTCTGTTTTATAACTTTCTTTTTACAAAATACTTGACGCTGTGAAAGTGTGAAATTACCTTTTACATAGTGTTTGAAGTGCTGGTTTGTATTTAGGAATTAACATCTTTGGGATCTTAGAATATGTTTTATTTGATTGACGTCATTTCTATCCCCTTCCATCTTGGCCATTGCTTCAACATTTGAATAAGTGATGAAACTAGGGATGAGAATTTGGCCTGAAACCCGAACCGAACCGAACCGAACCGAACCGAAACCCGAACCGAACCGAATTAGACCCGAATTAGACCCGAATAAGCAATTCGATTCGGTTTTTCGGTATCTATATAAGGCTTATTCGGTTTTCGGGTTATTCGGTCCGGGTTACCCGAATAAGGGTTTATTCGGTCCAAAAGAACCGAACCGAATATGAAAAGTCGCTTTTTTTTTTCCTTGCACGATTGCTTATTCGGTCTTTGTGAATCTGTTCTATCAATCATTCGATCGTTACCCAAAAAACCCACGTAATACACCAAAAAAAAATCAAGGAAATCGAATTCGATCATCCGTATTACACCAAATCGAGTCGACGACATTACTCCTTGCGACATTACTCTTTGATCAACAGTTGCGGTTGCTGCCCTTGCCACTTGCGATAACCTGGACAGCTGGACTCATTGATCGATCATCACTAGTTCAAAGTTCAAACTTCAAAGTCCATTCACGATAACAAAAAAAAAAAAATCGGCCCTTGAGTCTGGAAAAAATAATCGTCTCCTCATCCTTGTTTTCTAGTTTCTACTGTGATCAAACTCCATTCAAGTCATGAATTATTGGGTTCCAAATCAAGAAACTCAAGTAAGTATTTGTATCTTAATCTACTACTCAATCTTTCAATAATGTATGTTACTCATTGAAATTTGAATGTGTTAATCTACTACTCAATCTTTCAATGTGTTATTATGTATGTTATCAATTGAAATTTGAATGTGTTATGTTAACAGTTAACATTTTCTCAAATAAATGTGTAGCACCCGATTCCTGGTACGTATTTAAATTCAAGAATTTCATGTATTTCTTCTGGGACTCGACGAGTTGGTGGCCCAACTCGTTGAGTAGAGTCGTGATCCGTGGAAGTTTAAGTGGCCTGCTCGACGAGTCGGGAGACCGACTCGGCGAGTAGGTGCTGTTTGAGTGAAACCCTAAATTTGAGGGTTTGCACCTTATTTAACACCTTATCTCAGCCTCCATCGTCCCTTATACTCCCAGAAAACATCATATCGAAACCCTAGCCGTTTTTGTGTGTCCTAAGGCCATTTTGGTGCTTTTTGGTGGATTGTGAAGCTTGAGAAGAGGAAAGGAGCTTGTAAGACCAAGGGGAAACAAGAGGATCCAGAGTCTGGAGCTCATTTTCAGCTTATTGGAGGTATGAAGCTGAACCTTTGTCTATAGATTTTGATTATGGGCCTTTATCCTTCATCTTTCTAAGCCCTAGAGAGGTTGTATTCGGGATTTCATGTTGGAAGTCAGTGTATGCTTTAGATCCAGGTCTATTGAGGGGTTTTATGGCACAAAGGTGCCCATTTTGTTGCCATGAACACCCCATGCACTTTGGAGACAATCTTTTATGGCTTTTTGGGCCAAAGACCCCTTGCATGTGTACCAAGTTTGGAACTTTACGTGTAAAATGGAGATTAGGAGGCCAGATCTATGGTTTTGGTGTGTTAAGACCCATTTAAATCGACTGTATAGTGTTGGTCAAGGATGGACTCGACGAGTTGTTCTTGGGACTCGGCGAGTCGCGGTGTGTTGACCACCGAATCCTTTCTGTGGATGGACCAGTTGATAGGGAGGAAGTCCCGTGGATGCTTAGACACGAAAAGGGACCTGGGAATCATGGGGCTCGACGAGTGTATGAACAGACTCGGCGAGTCCAAGGCAATCTCCCAATCTTTGAAGATGAACTCGACGAGTTGTTCATACAACTCGGCGAGTTGTAGACCAGACACATTCTTATGAGGGAGATGAACTCGCCGAGTTCAAGGAAGAACTCGGCGAGACGAATGAAGATGGTCCCGATGGTTTGAATGAAGGAGAACCCGTAGAGTTCTTGCTAGACTCGACGAGTGAAGTCGGGGTTGGATCGAGTTAGTGGGGTATGGACTCGACGAGTTGGTAGACCAACTCGGCGAGTCAGGTCAACTGGATGTTGACTTTGACCAATGTTGACTTTGACTGAATTGAGTTGACCCTGGTTTGGGTTGCATGTTCGAATTGATAACTTAGAAGGGTTGCCGTGTAGGGATTGAGGAGTCGAGGGGAGTCGACTTTCACACCGAGGACATTTCAGACACTACACGACATCGAGGTGAGTTACCCTCCGGTAGGAGTGGGTCTACGGCCACAATGCCGACCCACTAGTAGGAGTTGTTTGTTAGATGATTGTCTTTGTGATAATCATCTGATGTGGTTATCTGATATGCTTTATGTGCTAGGATGCTATGACAAATGTGTTAGTAGTGGTAGGGGTGGTATAGCCCTAGTTACCGGTTGAAAGATACCGAAGGGGTAGATAGTACCCATGCATGCCTAGCAGTATGATTATGATATGCCATGATGCGATCAGTATGCTTATGATATTTTATTATAAGATAGTGGTAGGGGGTGAAATAGTCCCCAGTTACCGGTTGAAAGATACCGAAGGGGAGGGTAGCTCCCGATTACCGGTTGAAAGATACCGAAGGGGAGGTTAGCTCCCGGTTACCGGTTGAAAGATACCGAAGGGGAGGTTAGTTCCCGACTACCGATTGAAAGATACCGAAGGGGAGTCCAGCTCCCAGATATGCCAGACTGATACCGGTTGAGAGATACCGATGGATAGGCTTTATGTGGTATGTGGTATGATGGGGGAACTCACTAAGCTTCGTGCTTACAGTTTCAGTTTTGTTTCAGGTACCTCTTCAGCGAAGGGGAAGGAGCCGACGCGGTAGCGGCACATCACACACACACATGATTCCGCACTATGAGATTGTCTTGGGATTGTACTCTGATTTTATTATTATCCGATGATATGATTTTGAAATTCGTCATGATGGTTTATGAATTAATATATTATTAGTAATGTTTTGACAAATGATTTTACATGTTGCTTAATTAAAAATGAAATTTTTGTCCTTGAAATTTAGGATGTTACAAGTTGGTATCAGAGCCTTAGTTTGAGGGATTCGGATCCACTCTCGGGTGTGTCTGAACTCAAACTGAGGACTTGGTATGAAAATTTTCAAAAAGGAAAATCATTTTATGAAAAGAAGTTTGAAAAGAGAAACGAACTTGAAAAAGAACAAGATGTGTGATGTGCGCGACCGGCCGAGCTCAAGTAAGCTTTCCCCAAGATACCCATACATGTTATGTTATGATATGATATGATTATGAGAACTGCATGCTAGATTAGGGCTAAGGATCTAGGAAGGATGCCTTATATGCCTACTGTATATGAATGAGAATTGCATGCTAGATTAGGGCTAAGGATCTAGGAAAATGCCTGATATGCCTGCTATATGTGTTTTGAGCTGCAAGATGTTACTGATTAGTCAGTTATATGATAGCTTGGATAGAGTATGATTGGATTGGGTTACTCAATGCCCGAATGCTGTTGCTTTGTGCTTCGGGAGTCCTAGTTATTTTTTGCTAACTAGTAAACGAATACGTTAAGTTACATATGGCAAGGACGAAATAATTTTAGAAGGTTAGGTCTAGCCCTACTGCGCAGCTCTTGTTTGAGTCCAACCGTTGTGGGGTAGGACCTCTCATTCGAAGAATTATTTGGTCTTAGTAATATGTAATGGTATTCACAAGCTAGTTAGGTAAGGGTGGCAGGGGTTCCTTATGCAGCTGATGGCGGAGAGTAGGTCGGAGAGTTACCCTAGGGTAAGCCTAGGACGAGATTGGAAAATAATGCAACAGTATTAGAAGGGACTTGGTGAAGTCAAAGCAATCCTTGAGGAAAGTACGGATAGATGTGGAAGGTAGTATGGGCCCGTACTACTGAAAGCAGAGGATCCGTACTCGAGTCAAGGAGGGTCGAGATAGAACCAGGAACCTTGTAGAGTGTATGATACCTCCCGAGGTTTATGTATGATTATGACGATTATGTGTTATGTTTCATAATGGTGATGATCACACGTCATGGAGGGGGAGGTTCAGGATCAGGATCCGGTTCAGGATCAGGTTCGGGATCAGGTGCCGAGCCAGTTGATGAGGGACTACGAGATTTCATTGCTTTTGAGATCACTAGAGGCATCCTTGAGTCGACCCCGGTGATTTTCGGGTCGATCAAGGAAGGGATTATTGAGCTAATGGAGGATCGCCTCAGGGCATTCAGGAGCGATATGGCACTCAGTAAGTCAGGATCACGCACACTGTCCTTCAAGGACTTTAGGGGCAGTGGTGTGCCGGATTTCCATGGGGCTAAGGACCCCATCACAGCCAGGAGATGGATTGCAAACATTGAGTCTGCACAGTTGACGAGCTTCTTCCCTGAGGGGTCGAAGGTGAGATATGTTGCAGGTTGTTTGAGAGACCGGGCCAGGGATTGGTGGGAGTCCGTTGGTGACTCGTTGGGAGCCTCGGCAATTGAGGCTATGACTTGGTCGGACTTTGTGACCAGGTTCAGGTCTGAGTTTGCGCCAGCTGTAGAGCTTCAGTAGCTGGCCAGGGAGTTTCTGGATATGAGGCAGACGACAGAGTCAGTGGCGGAGATTACCGCCAAGTTCCGGGAGAGGGCATTGTTGGTGCCTCAGTATGCGGGTGATGAGG